TTTGTAATATAAGCATTGAATATATCAAGAATCAGGAATGACAAAAATGACATGAAAATAAATTGAAAATGATGCTTCAAAGTCATAAAAACAATGCATACGAAACTCACCTTGCAGTCGGTTGCAAGATTCCCTCCAATCCTGGTGATGTTCATGTGATCCTGACGCCAATCCTCCCATCGACGAGGTTGAAGTCGACTTGGATACACCAGCACTCGAGATAGTTCAAAAATTCACTAATCACTCACCACACAACCAAGAATGTTTTATCAACTCAAAATCCACAAAGATCAATAAAATAATATCAAAGATCAAATAATATTTTTAATCATTCAAAATACCATGAATGAGAAAAGTAATCCTTCGAATCTAATTCGCACTCTCACTTCAGTCCCGATCTAAACACACACTAAACAATTCCGAGAAACGGACAAAGGAATTTTTGTAAACACAATGACGCCGGGGGGCCGTTCGGCAATACCGAAGTTCAGTGTAACGAAGGAAAAATCTCAATCACAAAAAATGCTCTGATAAACTGTTTAAAAAATTATTTCACATCACAAAATCACTTGCACTGAGTCCCGCACTTTGTATTGTCAATGTTCCCAGCCGGCGTCGGTTTTATGCACTCACTAGTACCCCGATGTAAACGAATTTTCACTACGCGACACGTGACCAACCGTTCCACGCAATGCCACCGAACGACTGACTCCCCACTCAAAATGGCGGGGCGTTGGAGGCAGCGCTCGAGTGAGGGGTCGCCAGGCAATACTCCGCGCATGCGTACAGAACACCGCGGGCAGTCTGAATTTGACAGAATAAGATAATTGCGAAAATGCTTAACCTAATAAATAATTCTCTCTAAAAAAAACAGTGCAATCACGTAAAATCCAATAGTCAATGAAAAATAATTGATTGAAGGGAATTTAGCGTGTGGATTTTGGTCTTGACTTTGGTCTAGCTTGGGCGTATGGCAATTGCCATATACCATGTTTCTAGACACTGCCAAAAAATAATGCCTAAGTCTCTAAATAGATTGAGTATTGTTCTCTATCATTATCAATTTTATTCCCTCGTAAGAGTAATTTTTCATTAATTTTAATAAATAAACATGCCTTATTCTGAAAAAAATATCATATTTTCGCATATATATTCAAGTATTACAGAAATTTATTGTAAATCAATATTTAAGCCAAATTTAATTCCATTCGACATCGAAAATAATTGACAAGCATCTGGCTACTAATATATAGATTAAATCGGAGATTATATTAAGGAGAAACCCATGAGTTGATTATGGTGGAATGTTTCATGGTAAATCAATAGAACGTTCTCCTTATTTCATTATAATTACTAGGACATAATTTCTTATAAGATTCACAGATCGATCTACATGTCAAGTTCAAAAATCAAATCATTTTTAAACTCAAATTTGGATGCTACATTTGCATGATCAATTGATTTTTTATCTTCAGTACTCGAATTAAACGGAATTAATAATTTTTCACGACTAAGTATTGGTTTAATGTTCTCATATTTTTTTTTTTTCAGCATCTTTATCTTTTTTAATTTCTATCTTGTATTTATCACGGTCTTCCGTCTCCGAATTTTCACTCTCACTCATCTTACGCTCGATCGCTTGTTTCTTCTTCCGCAATTTACGTTGATTTTTTTTCCTGCGGCCTAAAATACTTGAATTGGATCTGGAATGAAAAATAATTATTCTATTTTTCTTACACAATCATACGAGAATTTCCATATCATATTATTCTGTATTACATTAAGTAGGAGCCAATTATTTTTTACAAATATGATAGGTCATAAAATTATAATAAGGAAAACAATTACCTATATAATTGACGAGATATAACATCATTAAATCTGACAGTCTTCTTTAAGCTGCAACAATCGGACTCTGAATTCAACTCCTGAACCGAATCGTAATTAAAATCGAAAGATGACGTTAGACCAGTAGCATCATCAATACTTGATTCTGACACAGACCGTGAAAAATTACTCCTCCTGTACTTGAGTATTCCCCTACATCTGTTACCATTATTATTGGATATTTCATCACCACTGCTTTCCGAGACTGATCTATATTTTTGCAGATTGATCCTTGGTTCATCAATCTCAAAATTAACTTCTTCCTCCTCCCCCTCATCATCTTCATCATCATCATCATCATCATCATCATCATCATTATTATTATTATCATCGCCATCATCATCATCATCATCATCATCATCATCATCATCATCATCAGATTCATTATAATTAGGTTCAATATTCCCAATAATCTCATCTCTCTCTGGAATAACTTCAATCTTCCTGTGTCCATTAATATTTATATCATGACATTCAAGAGATTCAATTTTTTTATCAAAGTTGATAACATGAGGTATGTCCTTCTGTTCCATAAACTCTTCATCAATTCCCACATAATAACTCTCCAAATTCTCAATATTCATCAACTCTACCGTGAACACGAGGTTATTGTCCCAAGGCTCTAGCCTCGCTGTCTCATTTTGAAAAACATTATCATCAATCTTGAAGCAAAGAGCGTAATACATTGGAAAAAATCCAGCACCAACGGATGAGAAAATTATATGAATTCCCGATCGATTTTTCAAGAACTTGTGCTTTATTGAATTAGCATCAATGTTCTTAACGTGAACAGTGATAGCTAACGTATTATCATAAATATTGCATGTAAATAGTGGCAGGGAATATTTAATATTTAAAGTGAGCAATGAATCTTCATCCACAACGGAGTTTTCATTTTTTTCATTAATTTTACATAATTCATCAATCTTTCTGATTGGAGTTATTAATTCTGCCGATTTTTTCTCTTTTTCGTTATTTGATTCTATTGTAGGACTACCGTGGTCACTATCAACTCCACTATCGTCTATGATAGTATCAACTATAGTGTGATCTCGAATTACTGGAAGTGTTACTGTTAATTTTTTCTTTTTAGAATCAAATTTGGCGTTACCATGATCTGGATTAACCCGATATGATAAGGCAAGTTCTAAACGATATTTTGCGGGTTTCTCGCTGGTTAGTATTAAAAAACACTCTTGAACGTCCAGAGTTGCATCAGTTGCGAATCGTAAGAGGGGTAGATCGATTATTACTATGAGATTTTTTGGAATTGTGCAATTGAGCTTTGAGTTTTTTGACATTTGGAAATCTTGAATATCAAGATCGGTTTGATGCTTTATAAGAAATTTCGGGGTGGTAAACGAATTGAATAGGCTGGTATCTAGGGTTTTGATATGATTGAGGTAGGTGCTTGGCGGAGATGGACGTGAGGGCTTATCCTCAAATTTTTTATGGTATTTTTTACGATTTTCGTCATAACTCAACATAAGCTTTTCATAGATCTCAGGCTCAATGTCAACAGAAATTTCTTCAGGTGCAGTGGATGAGGCGTTATCCAACTTTTTTCGAATTACTGTAGACTGGCTGATTCCTTTGAATTTCATCTTAGGATATTTGAGATTGTTCCTATCCAGCTGAACCTGAAAAAAAAATAATAATGATGATTAACGGAGACTTATGCAAGTTTACAAAATGGTATAACATGTGTATTTGTATAGTATGCATATTTATTTTCATTAAAGAAATGAATTAGCAAGAGATGAAAGATAAGTGTAAAAGTCAGGGAATGCAAGAATTTGCAGACATTTACTAACTAATTTTACCTTAAAATTCTTCTCAATTCCATCCATAGCTGTATCGTTAACAACATCTCTGAACCTTGAATTTTTCGAAGCCAAATGCAAGGTGTCAGAATGAAAAACAACATCAAATACAGTGCAGTACGACTTTTTTTTATCAACATCGTCACGAGGCGGTGCAAGAGTAAATGGAATAGACCACTGGAGTCCGCGTTTTCCATCTTCATATGATGGTTGACTGTTTGGTTTACCAACAGTATCACTTTTAGATATATTTATGAAACATTTTTTTATACCATTGACACTAGTTTTAATGACGTAGCCTGGCTCAGGATTTATGAATTTAATATCAATTCCACGCTCTCTTTCTAATTCACCAATTTCTTTCTCATATATTTTACGATTCCCCGGATTCGTCACCTCTTCGGCATATTCAATCAATAGTTTACGAAAATTATCCTGCTTCAAGCACTTGGTTAAATTCTGAATTTCCTCTCTTGTTACATCCAAATCCTCCCAAATTTCCAGCCGATCACTCGCGTCCATTTTACTTGAGCTAACTGTTTACCAGTAAAATTAGAGTGGCTTGGTACTTGGAGTCAATAAAGTTTTGTTGAGAAAATTGTTTTATTTATTTATTTTTTACGTGACCATTCAAGATTGGACAGAAGAATTCCGATAGATGGTACCCTATTCGTTTATTATTCCATGCCATATATATATATGTACATACACATACATATGAAATATGTACATACACTTGGCGAAAAGCTAACCTCCAAGTTTTTTTAAACTGTCACAGTGATTAATTCTAAATAATAATTATTCTACTTAATTTTTTTAAGAAAATGAATCCACAACACACAGGTGAATAATAGAAAAGATATTCATTGATTTTTCGACATCATAAATAAGAATGTTATGGACCAGTTACTTTTATCTCTATAAACTTTATATATTTTATTCGTTTCATTCATTTATAATATTATTTTTAATTATTTTTTAGATATATATATATATATATATATAGATATTTAAATAAGTATTCCTTAACGAGGATTTTTGTATCGTAAAGTTGAAAAATCCAGAATGCTTGAATGTGAACACATTGAAATTTCATACAGATTATATTATAAATGTTGTGAAAATTGTCTGTTTTTCATTATTTTACTAATTGCCTAATCATACAGGAATGGTGAATCCACAACAATTTGGAGTCGGTGGAAATCAAATGAACATGTGGAATGCTCAACAAGTACTGGCTCAACAGCAACAACAACAGCAACAACAACAACAGCTCGCTGCTCAACAATCAGTAACGATGCAGCAACAATTGCAACAAATGCAAGTCCAACAAGCCCAACATTTACAGTTTCAGCAACAACAACAACAGCAGCAGCAGCAGCAGCAGCAGCAGCAGCAGCAGCAGCAGCAGCAGCAGCAGCAGCAGCAACAGCAGCAGCAGCAGCAGCAGCAGCAGCAGCAGCAGCAGCAGCAGCAGCAGCAGCAGCAGCAGCAACAGCAACAGCAGCAACAGCAGCAGCAGCAACAGCAGCAGCAGCAGCAGCAGCAGCAGC